GAAGCTCAATTTTAGATTTCTAGAGGGTAAGCACGAGCTGGTAAAAAAATGTTTTTAAGATCATGGGAGAGTCATTCCGACGTTGGAGGTCGAAGCTCAACAAGAAGTATATCCAAAGTTGGTTAACTCCCTTCAACGAGTTTGGCAACATAACTCCTAGTCAATGGGAGGAGCTCGTGGCTCAGAAGACTTTACTGGAGGCATTCGAGCTCAGTGCCCGTAACACCGAGATGGCGAAGAGGAACAAACACCACCATCATCTAGGCCCCGGTGGCTACTATGCCAAGGAAGAGTAGTTTAGGAAGATGGATGAAGAGGCCGTAGCTGCTGGGAATATCGATGTGAAGAATTTGAAGGTACGCTCAAGGAATTGGATATATGCGAGGAGTACAGAATCATCCGGCGGTAATCTTAAGTTTGATAAGCCGGAGACCTAAGAGGCAGTATCAAGGATACTAAAATATGCTGAAGACAAGAAGAAGGGCTCATTCAATCCTTCCAGAGAGAGGGACGAGCTTAGACTTGGCTTGGAAAACAAGGAGCACACAGGCCGCACTAGGGGGCTAGGGAAAAGGACGACCTGAAAGCACGGATTTGAAGAGGATAGGCACATTTATAAGAAACTTGGCATAGATCGGGAGACTAATCTTGAGCTCCAAGTGAAGGCTCTAGTTGTGAAGGCGCTGGAGGAGCAAGAACTATCTATGGAGCTATGGACATTAATGACGCCGTCGGGAGAACTGGCATTAGTTGGCAGCCCTCCAAAAGTTCCTAGCAGCGAAGGTTCCACTGCAGCCACAACCCCAGTCAATCGTATACGGGAACCAACTAGTTGCATCTTGGTGTTTCTCAGTGGCCGGCAGAACATTGTGATGGAGGTGGCAACGGGTGTGGCACATCCTCCCGGTGGCTTACACCACAATAATAACATACCGCCGGACTACACTAGGGTCAAGGTGCATACCGTGAAGCCCGAGTTCATGGAGCGGAGGATAGACTACGCAACTCCCGAGGGGCTGGTGTTATTCGGAGACGTAATGGGGCAGTTGATCCTCTGGCATAAACGGGACATTATATTGACTGCTTCTTCGCTGCCTCCACCTCTCCCAAATTTGGAGCGAGTTGTTGAGGACGGGGAGATATTTTCACCGTCTCGTGACCACCACAATCCTAAGATGCCACATTCTTCCCCGCCTCCTAGCGAGCATGTGCCTGATAAGCCACAACCTTCTCCAACTCATACCGAGCAAGTGCATAATGAAATGCCACAGTGTTCTCAACAAGCACAGCCGATACAAGAACAACTAGTGCCTCCTAAAGAAGGTGATGCACAAGAAGATGAGGACGTGTCTGAATGGGAACTTAGAAAGAAGAATTCAATCACCATAAGACCAATTTATGTTCCGATGAAAGACATCTCGTCGGTGCACAAGTGGTATTCCCATGACCAGTTCAAGCTTGAGAACCAAGTTAAAAAAAGTCCCATCACGGACTTCTGAGGAGGCCATCACTAGCAAACTCCACCAAACAGCAAAGCAGTATCCAAATGTTGATGCCATCAAATGGTCAAAGAATTGCCCAAAAACATATGAAAGAGGCAAGCCCTTCCTACCAAACTGGGACATCCAGCGCCTACCACTTGGAATGAGAAGGTTTCATGATTGGTGCTTGCATGTTCTCCTAACGAGCATAAACGTCTTACAAGCATGCTTCCCCATCGGCACATTTGGAAGCCCAGACAAAAAAATTATCTTTGACTTTAATGACATGCAGACATGCTTTCACCTCGGAGCAATGAAAATGAATCTAATTCGCACGTGGTGCCTATAAGTCCTTGTCCTCCCGATATGGTATAAATGTAATCTTTGGATTTTGTTGTAACTAACCCATACCGTGATTTGTAGAATGCAAGTGCACATTATAAAACAAATGTCAAGTGTGAAAGCTGGGTATATATACCCTCAAGCTATAGCACAAATAAATTTTAATTACCCTAGACAGTGGAAACTAGATGACAAAGAGTTAGCTGCTGCAAAGACCCTTCGGGATAAAGAGGACATCCGTGCGAAGAAACTAAGGCAAGAGTCCCTTAAGGTTTTCGCATACATTGCCCTGGCTTTTAAAAATCTCCAACAACACTCTACTATATGGCTACCATACAACTTCGAGTAAGTTCAACTCTGTACTTAAAGCTTTGTTCGATATATTTTATTCGATGCAAAAGAGCTTATCTATTTCTATGATTAAATCCATGCAGCAACCATTAGATTTGTATAGGCGTCGATGTCGGGAGGAGCATGGCTTGGGTCTTTGATTCAATAGATAGGGACCCGATGACATACAAAGACTTCATATCGATTCTCAAGACATATACATATCGACAATCGTCATTAGCTTATATGTTTGTATACATACTTGTAACGTTCACTTTTGGATACTAACAAGTTGTATTTGCTAAAATAATTCGAACATGGCATTTAGGTTCTATGTCAATAAACATCAAGGAAGGCATGATCCAGTAAGGAATGAAAGTCTAGCTATAAAAACACTATGTGCGGTAAGTGTAACTTACTTTAGTACTCTATTACATGGCTGTTAAAAGCATTACTTAACATTTTCATATGCAAAACACACAGTGCCTCAAGCAGAAGCCTGAGAGTGTACATTGCGGATACTATATATGTTCTATAATGAGTAACACCGGTGCCTATAGAAGACACCCCTTAAGGGTAAGTTTGAACCTCTTCACCCATAGTATAAAAACTTCGTACATGATATAAAAAACTAAATCGAAACTTGTTCTCTTGTAGTGGAAAGAAGAGAAAGAAATGAAAAGAGACTCATACAAGGATGACCAACTCTTAGAGTTCGTTGGTGACCTTTGCAACTTCATATTTGACCAGATTGTACACGTCAAAGGTATCTACCATGATCGAGAGTCTGACTTAGGTAGAAATCCTCAGTACCAACACCTTCGTGAGATTGAAAGACTAGCTCTATGCCGTTGATAACAATGTGTATGGAATTTGACATTGGTCTTACCTTGTGGGAGCTTCGCTGAGCAACTCGCCGCGGTGCGGACTCCGCCGTGCCTCTAGGTCACTGCCGTCGACCCACGCCGCCGCCGTCCACCGCGACACCTATCCCAGCGCCATAGCCACCAAGGTGAACTCGCCGTGAGCGCACGAAGCCGTAGAGCCTCCTAGCAGTCCTGCCTATCCACCCAAGCGCGAGAACACGCGAGCTCACCGCTGGCGAGGAGCGCTGCCGCGAGACAGAGAGGAGAGAGAGTTGTTGCACCACTGTCGCCCTGTTCACCCAGTGCACTGTGTGCTAGAGAGAGGGGAGGGAGAAGTGGAACGAATTAGACTTGTGAATTATGTCTATTTAATGATGGATTGTATATATTCTTGTGAATTGGACTTGTAATGGTAGTTTATTCTTTTGCTTGTGGTCAGATTTGAATTATATATATATGTGTGTGTTATGGTAAAGTGTACTGTAGGGGCGGTTCTACAAAATCGATTTGATTTTTTTTACGGGAAAATATACTGTAGGGGCGGTTCTAGACTGGACCGCCCCTACAAACAGGTATTTTAGGGGAGCCATCCCTATAAATTGATTTTGTAGAGACGGCTGGTGTCCCCAGCCGCCCCTAAAAATAGATTTGTAGGGGCGGTCAGGGAACCGTCCTTATAAATACATGATTTGTAGCCACGCTTTGATAGAGGCGGCTGGCCAATCCGCTCCTACAAATCATTTGAAGCCGCCCCTACAAATGGTTTATGTAGTAGTGTTGGTTTCCTGCTGCGTTCTTCGGTCCTTGATGACCCGAGCGATCTAGCCCTAGCTAGCGTGTGATCCGGGATCAATCCGGCGTGAATGAAGTGGATGAACATGTCCGCCAGCCTCATCATCTTCCGGATATTACTAAGCACCACGTCCCTAGGGCTCGGGCTATGTATGTCGTCAATGCCCTCATCCATCAGGTTCTCAGATTTGGTGATACTAGTGACGACGAGCACCTCGTCGGCGTCAATGTCGAGGTCATCGGCACGGACCGTCTCCCACTTCGCTGCAATGGCATGGAACTTGAACGGTAGACCACACTGGCGGGCGAACTTGCTCAGCCGGCGCCCCGTCTCGTCCACTCGCGCGGTTGGGCGAAACCCGTGCTCGGGGAGGTCAATGCAGGTCATCCTCGGCACCTCCGCTGCCCGCCTTTCTTCCGCTTTGCCGGGTAGTCCGAGAAGATTCGCCATCGGCACCGTCTGACAAAGACGCCGTAGTCGACGATGTGTGACTTCTTCTTGCGGCGATGGCCTTTGCAGATGGTCATGTGGGAGAACCTATAGGCTGTTGTCTTGAAGCTGGAGACGGCCAGTGCAATTTGGTAGGCCTTGAGGAACTCCGCCACGGAGGTGCGCGCCGCCACCGGCCGACGTGTACTGGCGATGCTCCAACTAAGCCGTGCTCGTTAGTCATTAAGCGTTGCAATCGAGTCATGTAATTTCGTGTTAGTCGGTCGGGATGTCATGCTAGAGGAGTCTTAGTGTGGTTGGAGTTAGATGTAGCCAAAGTCATGCTTGGGTACGTCAAGCTTGAGTCGAGTTCTGTAATAGCCACGCCGTGGCGTTCTAGGCGCATGTAACGGGGTCGCATAAGAGAAGCGGTGTCCCGTTCTATGCGCGACGCGCGTGGGAGCCTCATGGCTATATATATCAAATAAAGATGACATGAGGGGAGGTGGTTGGGCGATAAATTTATACCGAATTTTACGTGTATCGTTTTCTCTAGTTTTCAATCTCATTAAGTGGTGATCGCAGTCACCACGTCGCCGGCAAGCACGACGTTCCACGGCGTTCTAGCATCGTTTGGATCCAACAAGTGGTATCAGAGCCTGAGGGAACGTTCCGTGGAGGCGAGAGGTTGCAGAGGAAGAAGAAGCAAGCCGTACATCTCGAGACGCAAGGGGCTAGGTAGAACGAAGTGTGATCACCATGGGCGACGGCAAGACTGATATGGACAAGACGTTCACTCCGACCGCAAATTTGACGTGGCCGGTGCTAACCCGATCAAATTATCATGGTTGGGCGTCTCACATTCAGTGCAATCTTGAAGGGTTGAATCTTTGGGATGTCATCGAGAAGGGTGAGAATGCGGAGAGACGTCAAGATCGGTTGGCGTTGGGTTCTATGCTCCGGGGCGTGCCAACAGAGATGCACTCCATGTTACTCAACAAGAAGATGGCTAAAGAAGCTTGGGAGGCAATCAAGACTATGCGTCTTGGGGCGGATCGCGTAAAGGAAGTCAATGCACAAAAGCTCTTAGGCGAGTTTGAGGCGATGGCATTCAAACCCGGGGAGTCAATTGACGATTTCAAGGCCAGATAACCAAGCTGGTTACCGATCTGCTGTGGTCTCGGTGAGGAGAGCGTGGTGATGCAAGGGTGGTGAAGAAGTTTCTCCGTGTTGTGCCAGCAAAGTACTCTCAGGTAGCAGTGGCTGTTGAGATGGTAAAAGACCTCAAGACTCTCACCATTGAAGATCTGGTGGCACATCTCAGGGCGGCGGAGGAGAGATTTGAACCATCTGCAGATCAGGTTGCAGAGAAGGCCAGGAAGCTTTTGTTGACGGAAGATGAGTGGATTGCACGAAACAAAAGTCGGATGATGTCCAATTCATCTGGATCAAGTTTCAAGGGTGGAGGTGGTGGTCATCAGGCCCATGACAAGAAGCTTTGGAAGCGTCCAACAAAGATGGTATTTGGTGAGGCGAGGGATTCTGGACCCTCTTCTCAGGACACGCCAAAGAGGAGGGGCAAGTGCGGGAAGTGTGGGGTCTATGGTCACTGGCGCAAGGAGTGCCCGAGGCGCAAAGCACAAGGGAATAAGCAGGAGGTAGCTCACCACGTGAACAATGATGGGGACAATGGAGCACTGTTGGTTGCTCAAGTGTGCAATGTGGTACGCACCACCGCGGTAGGAGGAAACAGCGTGTTTCTAAATCAAGTACGTGTGTTTCCATCCACCTATGATGCAGGAGCCTGGGTGCTCGACACTGGTGCCACCAACCACATGACAGGGTGCCGAGAGTCATTGGCATCCTTGGATGAATCAGTGAGAGGAGCTGTCAGATTTGGGGATAGCTCAAGGGTGGAGATTTGTGGGATCGGGGCGGTCACGATCGCCGGGAAAAATACAGATCATCGTGTTCTCACTGATGTATATTACATACCCTCACTCCGATGTAATATTGTCAGCCTCGGACAATTGGAGGAGGCTGGATGTCGAGTTGAAATTGATAGAGGCGTGATGACGGTGTATGAGCGAAGTCAAGGGCAGTTGAACTTCTTGATCAAGGCTGAAAGGAAGAATCGGTTGTATGTCATGTCGATCGTCGACATCCCCAATCTGTTTGCTATCAAAGATGGATGAAGCGGGATGGTTGTGGCATGCTCGGTTCGGGCATCTTAACTTTAGGTCACCGTGACCTAGGCTCAAAGAAGATGGTGGAGGGCATTCCGTTGATCTGCCGAGGTGAACAGGTCTGTGATGGTTGTGCTCTCGGCAAACATCATCGCAAACCATTTCCACAAAGCGATCGTGACATATCGGGCCACCACAGGAGGCTCGAGGTGGTGCATGGAGATCTCTGTGGGCGGTGACACCGCCAACCCGGGTGGTAAGTTGTACTTCTTGCTAGTAGTTGATGATTTCAATCGCTACATGTGGGTGGAACTCTTGAAGACGAAGATCAGCGTTTGAGAGTTTCAAGAAGATACAAACGGCGGCAGCAGAATGGAATCAGTCTGAAGTCGAGGCGTTCAGAACGACCGAGGAGGGGAATTTAATTCAGGTGTGTTTACTGGTCTATTGCAATGCTCATGGCATAAAACACAACACCATCAAGACCCTATACACCACAAGAAAAGCGGCGTGGTTGAAAGAAGGAATCATCGGTGGTGGAGATGGCGTGTTGTTTGCTCAAATCAAAAAAAGGTGCCGAGGGTGTTTTGGGGTGAAGCGATGATGGTGGCGGTGTATTTGCTTTGAACCGAGCACCTACTAAAAGCCTGAACAATGTGACACCTTATGAAGCTTGGTATGGGAAGAAACCAAGTGTGCGACATCTCGAGGACCTTTGGTTGCGTGGCCTATGCAAAGAAGGTTGGACCGGGTGTGACCAAGCTCAAGGGGACGAAGACGGTATTTTCCTTGGTATGAACCGTGCTCAAAATCCTATCGGGTCTATGATCCGGTGAAGAAACGACTCATGATCTCGAGGGATGTTATTTTCGATGAGAAGAAGAGCTGGACTTGGGGGGTGAGTGGAACAAATGTGAAGCGAGACGATGTACAAGAATCGGAGGAAGAAGCGGTGTTGATTGGCTGAAAGGCGTTCATCGTTGCCGATCCGACAATAGGCGGGCGGTGATTGAGACAAGACAGATTTCAGACGCGCAGGAGCTACGAGGCGATGCTCATGGAGCTGCGGTACCCGGTTCAACTGTTCCACCAACTCCATCTCTTGGTACTCCATCATCGATGGTTGGCACTCTGTGTACCTCGGCAAGTGGTGTGCGAGACACAAATTCAATGGGCTACGCCACCCAATCGGGTCTTGAGGAAGATTCGGGAGGAGTACCACTCCGGTATCGCTCAATACCGGATTTACTAGACTCAACTGTACCTTTTCGGTTAGAGTATAGTGGTTTGTGTCTCGTTGCGGTGAGGAACCAAACTCGGTGGAGCGAGCTCGGCAGAGAGTTCTTTGGAGAGATGCAATGCGGTGCCGAGATGAAGGCTATCGAGGCAAACCGGACTTGGGAAGTCGGTGAGCTCCCAAGGAATCACAAGGCTATTGGTCTCAAATGGGTGTTTAAGGTGAAGAAGGACCCAGAGGGCAATGTTGTGAAATATAAAAGCGAGGTTGGTCGCAAAGGGCTATGCAAAGCGCCATGGTGTGGATTTTGACGAGGTCTTGGCGCTTTGTTGCGTAATAGAGCAGTGAGGGTCTTGTTGGCTCTTTGCTGGCGCCACGGTGGTTGGGAGGTGCATCATATGGATGTTAAGTCCGCATTCTTGAATGGAGATCTCTCTGAAACCGTTTTGTACTGACCTCCGGGTTTCATTGTTGGCAAGGGAGATAAGGTGTTGAGATTGAGAAAAGCATCAGATGGCTTACGGCAAGCACAGCGTGCATGGAATTTCAAGCTCGATAAAGAGCCATCCGCTCTTGGTTTTGTCAGGAGTAAGTTTGATAATGCCGTGTATAAGAGGAGTAGCAAGGATTCTCTTCTGATTGTGGGTGTGTATGTTGATGATCTTATTATCTTGGGGCCAAAGATTGAGGACATTAATCAATTCAAGGCGGAGATGAAACTGAAGTTCAGCATGAGTGATCTCGGTCTTCTCGGCTATTACTTGGGGATTGAAGTAAAGCGAGGAAAAGGTGGGATAACACTGAGCCAAGCAGCTTATGCGGTTAGGATACTTGAGTATACAGGTATGGAGCACTGTAATCCATCTGACACGCCTATGGAGCCTCGGTTCAAACTCACAAAGGGAAGAGAATCTGAAGCTATGAATGTGACGGCTGGGAGTATAATTGGAAGCCTTAGGTACTGGTAAACACGACCGGACTGGCTTATGCAGTTGGGGTGGTGAGCAGGTACATGGAAGCTCTGGAAAAGCTCACTGGCTCTTTGTCAAACGAGTGTTGAGATATGTAAAGGGCACCACAGGCTATGGATGCAGCTATGAGAGAGGGGCTGAATTGAAACCGATCTTGCTAGGTTTCAAAGTGATAGTGATTTTGCTGGAGATTGAGAAGATAGGAAGAGCACCACTTGGTGTGATCTACTTTCTCGGCGATAGCACAGTAACTTGGACATCTCAGAAACAAAAAATCGTTGCTCTATCCTCGTGTGAGGCCGAGTATGTGGCAGCAGCGGCAGCAGCCTGTCAAGGCGTTTGGTTGAGCCGACTCATGGCTGATCTACTTGGAACGAAGGAGACACCGGTGAAGTTGTTGATGGATAGCATGTCAGCAATTGCGTTGAGCAGGAATCCGGTTCATCATGATCGTAGTAAACATATCGACACGAGGTATCACTTCATACGTGAGTGTATTGAGGAAGGCAGGGTTGAGGTTGAACATGTTGGTACAGCTGGACAGTTGGCAGATATTTTCACGAAGCCGCTCGGTCGTGTCAAGTTTGTTGAGCTACGAACTGCTCTTGGTGTCGTTGATGTGCAACAGCTTAGGGGGTGATTTGTTAGTCATTAAGCGTTGCAATCGAGTCATGTAATTTCGTGTTAGTCAGGTCAGGATGTCATGCTAGAGGAGTCTTAGTGTGGTTGGAGTTAGATGTAGCCAAAGTCATGCTTGGGTACGTCAAGCTTGAGTCGGAGTCTGTAATCGCCACGCCGTGGCGTTCTAGGCGCATGTAACGGGGGTCGCAAGGAAACGGTGTCCCGTTCCTATGCGGCACGGCGTGGGAGCCTCATGGCTATATATATCAAATAAAGATGACATGAGGGGAGGTGGTTGGGCAGTAAATTTATACCGAATTTTCTGTGTATCGTTTTCTCTAGTTTTCAATCTGTTAAGTGGTGATCGCAGTCACCACGTCGCCGGCAAGCACGACGTTCCACGGCGTTCTAGCATCGTTTGGATCCAACAGTGCCTCCAGCCCCTCGGCGAAGCAGAACGCCAGCCTCTGGTTCGCGTCCCCTCTCAGCGACGAGTGCTTCTTGATCTGCGCGAGAAGCTGGGCTGCGGTGACATGGTCGTCCATGGACACCGCCTCCGCACAGTGGATGAGCAGCGTGCTGAGGTTGCTGCTGTTCTTATTAGCCACCTCGGGAGTGGTGGACGTAGTGATGCTCAGGGTCTTCATTTTGTTTACACACAGGGTGTACCCGTCGATGACCATCTTGTCGACCATCTCGCCGGCCTCCTCCGGCTCCAGCGCCATCAGCTTGCTCTTCCTGCCCGTCTCGCCCTCCTCCAACTCATCATGCCCCCTGTTCTTGCGGCGGCCTCGAGCTCTGCTGCTGCTGTTACCATTATTATTAGTTTCTTGGAACAGTAACATTCCAATTCCATCCGCAGCCTTCTCCTCCTTGTTGATGATGCTGCTGCTGATGCTGGTGGTAGGCAAGAACTTGCTGGCCTCTTCCGTGCCCTTGAGAAAGGCCTGATTGATCATGTCCATGCTCACTCTGTTCTGGACATGACTCTGACTGCCTAATTTGTCGGTGCTCTCATGGAATTGGGATCCTGCTTGTTCTAGTCCGGGCAAGGAGGAGGCGCTGTTGGCAGCACCGGCCGTGAGCCGCTGGGTGAGCTCGAGCGGGTCGTACGGCCAGGTGGCGCTGGCGAACGCG